ACTTAATATCAGATGTTATTATATTATTTATCTACAAAGCTATTTACCCAAAATATATAAAAATTAATCTGTACAAAGAAATAATCTACTAATGATCCTTTAAATAAACTACGCGTTATTAATAATACTTTCCCTTTTTTCTAATCTAGTTCAATAAAAGGATAATATAAATCATCGTCATCATAAGATGATTTTTTCCATAGTAATGGTTCATATCGACCAAACATCATTATTATTTTCTCACTAATAAATGGTTTTAACCTTCTTAATTCTTCTCTACATTCGAAATGTCTTGAACAATCAACCCGATGTAATTTACGCCAAGTTTCCGAAGGTGCAGGAAGTGGGAAGGTACAGACATCTTTCACGCACTCTTCGAATTTCGATCTCAGATGATCAGCTTGCAATGGAGGAAATTGTCGATCAACAGTTACGCAATAGATTTTATTTAGGCCTTCAACATATTCTTGTCGTTGTACTTTGAGTTTAGTCTCAGTTGACTTTGAAAGTCCTTGTAGCCGACGAGGGTCGTAGAATATGTGATCGAAAGAATTTAATACAAGCTTCGAAGCTTCTTTATATAGTTGTGCAATTCGATATTTTTCAGCCAATTGAAGAGTAGTCATTGGATGTTCGTGAAAGCTTCTTTTTAAAAATGCGACACAAGCCGCAGTCAAAGTATCAATTATATATTTATCTGCTAAGTGAAGCAAGTCAGCCACAGAATTCCAGTCAATTTCGAAAAATGTATTTGGATAAAGAAATGAAAGTAACATTTCAATGTTCGAGGCAGATTCATCGGTTAATGGTATTCGCGGAATTAGTCTACCAGTTTGTTGATCAATGTTCATATCATCAAAAGTTGGGGAGACGCTGGCAAATAAATCTTTGAATACCATCGAAGAGAGTGCGATAATATTTTTGTGTATGCGAAAGCAAGTTGTTTCCGCGATTAATTCACAATCACCTTCTTCATAGAAATGTAGACTACTTTTCTGAGTCATCGTATTTAGTCGTTGCTTTTTGTTCACCCGATTTAATATCGTCGTCTTTTTCGTCTTTAACGATACGGATTTTGATTTTATTATCGTCGGCGTTTTATTCTCGGTATTGCTGTCGACGTTGTCGCTTCTGTTTTTGTTTATTGAGAAAGACTTTGAAATATTCTTTGCGTTATTGCTAACTGTTATAGAGGAATTGCAAGGAGCGCTAGTGGAAGAGGTTATTGATGA